TCTTTTCTTTCAACAGAGTCTTGCTGTTGCCTATGCTGGAGTGCAGTGGCATGATCTCTGCTCACTGCAGCCTCCACCTCCCACGTTCACACCATTCTCCTGCCTCAGCCTCCTGAGTAGCTGGGAGTACAGGCGCCCACTACCATGCCCAGCTCATTTTTTGTATTTTTTGTAGAAATGGGGTTTCACCGTGTTAGCCAAGATGGTCTCGATCTCCTGACCTTGTGATCTGCTTGGCCTCAACCTCCCAAAGTGCTGGGATTATAGGCGTGAGCCACCATGCCTGACCATGTTGGTTTTTTTTTAAACCTCCTTTTTTATTCTGGGTTAGATCATTCCCTGGCTGTCTTTATCCTAGCATCAGTGAGTCCTGCTGTCACTACAGCCCCCTGCGAGGTCAGGTATTTTCGTCACAATCAAGTGGATCTTTATTTTTTATCTGACATTTACAATTCTGCCAGTTCTGATTCTTAAATTCTCTTTGCCTTGAATTCCAGGATCCATCTCTGATGTTCAGTGAAGATGACCAGAACAGTCTGCTAGAGCAGTACCATCTGGGTCTGGATCAAAAACATAGAAAATATGTAGTTGGAGAGCTCATCTGGAATTTTGCTGATTTCATGACTAACCAGTGTAAGTGGCAGTTTGGCTCATGGGATAATATACCTGTCCTCATTTTTTCAGGTTGCCTTGCCCTTTCTGGATATTTTGGTTGTAAGAATATTGGAAAGAAAGTGAAGAAGCTGGTTTAATCCATGTAGGTCACGCTGAGGATTTCCTAGATAAAGGAAGTTGTGCTTAGGAAGTAGGAAAGCAGTCAGGCCCCCGCTTCCCAAATACAGTAAAAAAGCAAACAGAAGAGTCTCCTACAGTGAGATGGAAATGGCTAGCTTGCCTTTTTCTTGTCTATTTCATAGCCAAGGAGGAAGGAAAAACTGGACCTCATTATGATTTACTTTTGGGATACACTGATTATTCCAGAGGAAGGTACAAAGTCTGAGAAGCTTAAGGTATTTCAGTGTGTTTTATATTACTCACTTGCAAAAAGCAGGCTCATCAAACACAGGTGAGTTTCAACGTATCTTGAATATGGTAGCATTTAAAAGTCTTCAGACCGGGCATGGTGACTCATGCCTGTAATCCCAGCACTTTGGGAGGCCAAGGTGGGAGGATCCCTTGAAGCCAGGAGTTTGAGACCAGCCTGTTAAGCAGAGCAAGACCCCATCTCTACAAAAAATAAGCACATTAGCTGGGTGTGGTGGTGTGTTCCTGTAGTTCCAGCTGCTTGGGAGGCTGAGGCAGGCGGATCGCCTGAGCACAGGAGTCGGGGACTGCAGTGAGCTGTGATTGCACCACTGCACTTGAGCCTGGGTGACAGAGCGACACCTGTCTTAAAAAAAAAAAAAAATGTGTCTTCAAAGACCAGAAGATCTGTGCTGTCACATTGGGTGACTGAGGGGCTGCCAAGTTTGCAATGAATGTTTCCCATTTCTTCTTAGTTTATGGACTTACCATCCTTGGCAGTTTGGTGGGTTGGAGAAGGATATGGTGATGGCGGGAGTTACAATACATTACTTATAGGGGAAGACAGGCTTTTGAAAGGTTAACGCTTAAAAGTGAGAATGGAAAAGGGATGAGTGAATGAACAAGATGAGGTGAGAGGGAAGAGGTAAAGGGAAAAGGAGAACGAGAAGCTCTTCTCTGCATGGCACCTGGGATGAATGGTTTCTGGGGACATCCCTGATGGCAGTTTTGTGGAGAGGCGCAAAGATTTATGTGGTAAGAAATGAGCTGTAGGCCCAGCGCAGTGGCTGACAACTGTAATCCCAGCTACTCGGGGGGCTAAAGCATGTGAATCGCTTGAACCCAGGAGGTGGAGGTTGCAGTGAGGGAAGATCATGCCATTGCACTCCAGCCTGGGCAACAAGAGTGAAACTCCATTTCAAGGAAAAAACAAAAAACAAAAAACCAGGGGGCTGGGTGCAGTGGCTCATGCCTGTAATCCCAGCACTATGGGAGGTGGAGGTGGACAGATCATGAGGTCAGGAGTTTGAGACCAGCCTAGCCAACATGGTGAAACCCCGTCTCTACTAAAAGGACAAAAATTGACTGGGCATGGTGGCGGACGCTGGTAATCCCAGATACTTGGGAGGCTTGAACCCAGGAGGTGGAGGTTGCAATGAGCCAAGATTGCACCACTGCACTCCAGCTTGGGCAACAGAGGGAGACTCTATATCAAGAAAAATAAAATTAAGTGAAGAAGGAGGAGGAAGAAGAGGAAGAAAAAGAAGAAGAAATAGCTAGGTGTGGTGGCTCAGGCCTGTAATCCCAGCAATTTGGGAGGCGGAGAAGGAGCAGGAGGAGGAAAGGAGGAAAAGGAAATAGCCAGGTGAGTCGTGGTGGCTGGTGCCTGTGAGGAGGAGGAGGAGGAGGAGGAGGAGGAAAAAGAAATGGAGGAGGAGGAGAAAGAAACAAACAGCCAGGCCTTGTGTAGTGGCTCATGCCTGTGAGGAGGAGGAGGAGGAAAAAGAAATGGAGGAGAAGGAGGAAAAAGAAATGGAGGAGGAGGAAAAAGAAACTGAGGAGGAGGAGGAGGAGGAAAAAGAAATGTAGGAGGGGGAGGAGAAAAAAAATGAAAGAGGGGGAGGAGGAGGATAAAGAAACAGAGGAGGAGGAGTTGGAGGAGGAGGAGGAGGAGGAAAAAGAAACTGAGGAGGAGGAGGAGGAGGAGGAAAAAGAAATGTAGGAGGGGGAGGAGAAAAAAAATGAAAGAGGGGGAGGAGGAGGAGGAGGTGGAGGAGGAGGAGGAGTTGGAGGAGGAGGAGGTGGAGGAAGAGGAGGAGTTGGAGGAGGAGGAGGTGGAGGAAGAGGAGGAGTTGGAGGAGGAGGAGGAATTGGAGGAGGAGGAGGTGGTGGTGGGATTACAGGTGTGAGCCACTGCGTCTGGCTGGAAATCACATCTCATCATGAGATCTGGAGGGCACATACTCGAACCACATTAGCCTTCAAGGGAAATTCCGGGCACCTGGCTATTCCTGAGAAGTAAATTAGCAACTTGATAAGAAGAAGGTAGTAATTGGCTGGGTGCAGTGGCTCACACCTGTAATCCCAGCACTTTGGGAGGTCAAGACAGATAGATCAACTGAGGTCAGGAGTTCCAGATCAGTCTGGCTAACATGGTGAAACCCCATGTGTACTGAAAATACAAAAATTAGCTGGATGTGATAACGGATGCCTGTTATCCCAGCTACTTAGGAGGCTGATACAGGAGGATTGCTTGAACCCAGGAGGTGGACGGTGCAGTGGGCTTAGATTGGACCACTGCTCTCCAGCCTGGGAGACAGAGTGAGACTCCATCTCAAAAAAAAAAAAAGAAAAGAAAAGAAAAAAGAAAAGAAAAAGAAAAAGGTAATAATAGCTCAGAACAATAGCCATCCAAGTTGGTTACAGCCACAAGATATCTGATCCCCTACAGAAAGTAAAGATGACATCTTGACAAATGTCCCTAAGTTGTTTTTCAGAAGCGCAGATCTCCACCGGATGAAAAATGGTGACAGCTTTCCCTTCGACCTCAGATAAGGGTGAACCGAGGACTGAACTCTCACTGGCGTTCTTTGTTCCAAATTTCTTCCCGAGGGGCCTGGAGGGAATCACACTCACAGGCAAAAACTTAACACCCCTTCTGCTGACCCCAAGGTTTTAGATAAAGCTTTGCTTTCTTAGCCAACTGTAAACTGAAGAAATACTTGAATTGGCCAGGCGTGGTGGCTCACGCCTGTAATTCCAGGACTTTGGGAGGCGGAGGTGGGCGGATCACCTGGGGTCAGGAGTTCGAGGCCAGCCTGGTTAACATAGTGAAACCCTGTCTTTGTTAAAAATACAAAAACTAGCTGGGTGTGGTGGTGAGCATCTGTAATCCCAGCTACTCAGGAGGCTGAGGCAGGAGAATCACTTGAACCAGGGAGGTGGAGGTTGCAGTGAGCCGAGAT